ATATATATTAAGTAGTTTTGTTTTTCTTTTTATTTGTCTTGTATACGAATCGTTTCGTTTTCTGTCTGCATGACACATAACCTTTGTTCTTCTTCTTTTTATCTAAATCCCAGTTTTTTTCTTGATCAAATAAAGGTAAAATATAGAATATTAGATTATTATTTATTGAGGAAAAATGATTAAACTACATAAGGAAAAGCTTTTGTAATTCGTTCAATAAGAGTATGATAATCAGTTTCAATATGTTCAAAAAATGTAATATAAGCAGCGCCACCATCTTTACCATCAATCTTACGTAAAACCTTTTCTGCACATGATCGAAAAGAGTCCATATTAAATGGGTCACAAACATAAGCTCTAAGTTCATCAGTTGAACATGTTCGTATCATTTCTGATCGCCATTCTTTAAAACGTTCATTAAGTGGTGGTATACGAGTGACTAATTCAGCTTTTGAATATTCAGCAGTCTTTTGAATATCATGAAAATTTTTAGTGAAACCAAGGCAATCTGATGTGTGGGAATTGTATAATTTTGAGCCTTGAGTACCCATACATGGTTTGTCAAGTCTTTGTTCATGAATCATACTAAATAAATCATCAACTTCACTTGAACAACATTCTTTAACAATACGACAATGTAACATCATGTAGCCAGGTGATATATTGTATGGTGCTTTAGTTAAATATTCGTTACGTAGTCTTGCCCATGTTGTTGCATCATCAGTATATTTTGTTGTTCCATAGAAGAAATTATATAAAGCATCGTCACGTTGACTAGTAACAGCAGCAACAAGAAAAAGAAGAACTAATTTAGTATACATTCGTATAATTTAACTAAATAGAAGAGAAACAAAAAGGAATATTAATTTATCAAATAAGAAATAATATGCTTACTTATTTGGTAACAATGCTGTATGAAATGTTCAAATCATTCTAATATTTATATAGAGAAAAACACAAAGAATCAACATTCTTCGTCTTTATAAAATAGTAGTCAATTCAAACAATGAAAATGTAGATGTGATTTTGTATTAGTCCGCTGTAAATGATTCTTACTACTAGTGCAAAACAGAAATAAGTTAAAGAATATAAATCAAGGGGAAAATATCAAAGAGAATTTATGTATACTTTCGTCTATGATATATTATTTTCTCTCAGTGCAATGTGTTTTTGTATTATTCTATAATATTATATAGACTGAACTATTTAGATGACAAAATAGGACGACTATTCTATAAGGTCAATTCGATCGTTTACGATGATAATCTGTTGATATATCCTCATTCGTTTTTCTGATTTATTCTGTAATATATTTTTTTCATATTATTTATATAAAAATTTTGCCAAGATCAAGTTAAAGTATCATAGGCTACAATACGTGTAACTCTAATTTTCATCATCATCACTTCTTACTTGGATGAATGTTTCAATATGATTTATAATTGTAGTTCAAATTAAAAGTTACTAGTAATCAACTATTTCATTACATAAAATAAAATGATAAAAAAAAAAACAAGTGTAGTAATAAATGAAGTGTATCTTTAATGAATAATATAAAATAAAGAAAATAGGATTGTTAGTTTGTCAATTAGTTATAATTGCTGATTTGTCATTTTTCACGATGACCATTGTTAAATCATTCGTTGGAGTTACACGATTTTTTGACAGCTTTTGATTTATTCTATTGTGTATCAAACGATATACTGGAATAAGAAATAATTTCAGGAGAAGAAATAATAAACCAAAAACTTCTAAAACAACAATCGTGAAAAGAAGACTACGAAAAGCAATTTCTGTTTGTCTGGCAATTGGTTGTTGTAAATTTCCAATATAGAATATATTCTCAGTAATTGTAATACTAATATTGGTTTGTGTTCGATAGAAGAATGTATATCGACTTTCATTAGTAAAAAGTTCATCAGAATTATCACCGAACGTGTATGACCAAATAGCACTGAATGTAGATAAACCATCATCATCCAATGGATCAGTTTGATTAACAATTTGAATTAATTCAATAGAAAATGTACTTGATTCTATAAGAACATCATCGAGTGAAGATGAAACAAATGTCGATGCAAAATTGAGATCCATCAATGCAAACCTTTTAATTACAGAAAAAAAACGATTTTTCAATAGATTCATAAAAAAGTAACTCATATCTAAATATTAACTCTGTTTGTTAGATTATTCACTATGAATTATTAGAAATTTTTTAAAATGTAATTTATACCTTCCATCTTCCATTTCTGCTGAAGGGCCACTAAGACCAATTCGAATGGCTCCAACCGTTTTCAGTCCTGGTAATACAAGTTGAGCAGTAATCTCATGAACTGGAAGTAAAATGGCTAAACTTATAGTAGTTTCATTATAATTTGGTTGACATTTTGTAATTGGTATTATAGTAACTGTATTACCATTGACACGTTGTACATAAATATTATCTTCACAAGTAAAAGCTGTTTGAATAAGATCAATATTAAGTGTAAATTGTTGAGAATTAAGTAAATCAAACATATGTTGACTGTCTTTTGTAGAACGACGAGGATCCCATCTCTTTTGAGTTGTTGTAGTAAATTTTGCATTACGCAAAGTGATATCACATGCAAATGTACTATTATTAGTAACATATTCAATTGGATATTGATGAAGATAACCATTAGAAAAAAAATATGCTGATACAATAAGAACAATTATTGCAGCTGACATTAGTCCACCGATCCACATCTAAATAAGAAAATATGATTTAGAGAATTTAAAAATAAAGATAACATCGTTTTTTTTGTCAAATTTTCAAAAGTTCAATCTATCTATGAATGATATGAATCTACATTAAATGAATCAATTATGCAATCAAATACCTCTCCTTGACCAATAAGATCCATTTTTCTAAAGACTTTCTTGGCTCGATCTCGAATAAAATGATGATGAGGACAATAACATTCTGAAAGTGCCATGCTAACAGCAACACTAAAGCCAAGTATTGTGACAAATATTACCCAAGTAATTGGTGATACAAATAAACAATGAATCGATTTTGGGCTGAAAATAAACATGTTTTGTATAAGTAAATCATCAAAGACAGTATTCTCAGGCGAATCAGGATATTCTGGATTTTGTTCAATTGATTGAAATGTTGAATAAGAAACTTCACCAACAGCTCCATATGGACAGAACAAATCTTTCGAACAATTATTTAATGATGAATCAGGATAACATAATTCAATTCCACTATAATTTCGGCTCGTACCACGATAACAAGGTGCTGCACTTGTGACATATAGGCTCGTATTTGTATTCGAATAATTATTTGGGGATGCTATAAGAATACCGATCCCATTGCCTAAACGATCTAGAAGACCTAAATGACCAATAGGAGAACAAAAGATACGAATAAAAGATGGATCCATTTCTTGTTGAAGGGGTTGTTGGCTATTAGGATGTACCAGAATTGGTTGCGTCGAATCAGAAAATCCATCTGATTGAATGTCATAAATATGTACTGATGATGAAATCCATTGATAATTTGAATAAGAATAAATGTTAGCTAAAATGACTGCTTTATTACCATTCTTATCTAACCACGCTACACTTTTTCCATAGCCCATCAATCCAACTCCATTTTGACGAGTACTAATTGGATTATGTGTATCGTTCAATGAATATAAAAACACTGTATTGAGAGATTGAATACCAATTAATACATGTTGTGTTTGCCAACAAATACTTACTGACATAACTAATTGTGCAGTATAAGTTCGACTTTGTGTGATCAAACGAATGGAACGTGGATCACTCCATGGATACTGTACAACATTGCTAATATCAAATTCATTGATACTTATCGGATATGACAATGATGAATTTAATCGAATAACAAAACCACATTCAACTGCAATTGTTGGCGACGATTGACAATATCCAACTACAACGGCATAGTTTTGATTTGCACCAATATCCATTGCTCGAGGAGAAATATCGAGTGTATTTGGCCACACAAACAATTCAATCGTTGGATATAATCTATAAAATAATACAAAATCATCAGCAATACCATATACACCAGTACCATCTCCATTAAATGCCACCACAAAATTATCTTGTGTCGTATAGTTAAACACAATCTGTTCATTATTTAATTGAAAGTCACACGATCTATTTATACCAATAAAATTACCGACGACATTATTTCCTTGAAAATCGATGCAATTATAAACAAATGAGATATTATTTGAAACTGGTACAATAACACTATAGACAAAATCACATGTTGTTAAAGTATAACTGAGTTGGCAGCTTGAAGTATTGGTGTGTGGAAAATATTCGACATACCAAACCAAAAATAGATTATCAATACTAACTAGAAATTGATCATTTATAGCAATTTTAATTCCATAAAGATCATAATCAGTAGCTACTTTTGTATATGTTAATACATTACATATATAAGAAAATAAAATAACAATCTTGATAAACATTATTGTAACAGAATGACAAGCGTCAACCTTTTCTAATGATTACTATTTTTTTTTTGAAATACACTTGTATGTCGTTGATAAGAATCATATATATTAACTATTCTTCCGGTTTCGTATGTCTATTTTCATTATTTCAATACTGATTCAATATTAATAGTAGGAGGGAAAAAATGAAACTATTCAATCTAAGTGATATTAGTATAGCATTTATTTCTAAAGTTTAATATCATAATTTACTACTCTATATGTACTTTCCCTTTGTTTTTCATATGTTATCTGTCAGTCAATCAATGCATAAAGAATATATTTTTTTATGAAAGCACTTATATTGATTAATAAACTAATATCAGTGCATTATTAATTGATGATAACAAAAAAAAATAAATGAAACTTTGATTAATCTTTATTGCAGTGTACAAATCTTCAAGCTCATTAGTAATTTGTCTGCTTGCATAAAAGATTCTAGAAGAAGTATGATCATATTTGATCTATCAATATTGAACTATGAAAACAATTAATGGGAATAAATCTAGTTTCATCATATGAAATCATTCTCAGAGTTTTTCTTCTATCTGAATATTCGTAAATAACTGGCATTTCTGTTCAGTTTTTATTGTATAAATAATACATTATTTAAAATTAGTCGACTTTTTCGTATTGATTCATCTTCTTTATTAAATACAAATGCTCAAAATGATGAATGGAATCTATTAAAACGTATTTTTTCATATCCATCATCATCATTTCCAACTAAAATTAAATTAGCAGAATATTTAGCTAAACAATTAAGAATATCAAATCAACAACTAGTTGAATTAATCGTTGATCAAACTGATAAAACTTTAGAACGTTGTCAGAAAAATGATCCAACTGATGATTATCATCATTGGCCATTTGATCCAAATAATATTGAATCATATCGACAATTTATTTCACTATTATATGAAAAAAACTATGATGCTATTGGAAAACAACTTGTTGAAAAATCACAATTGTATGAAGATCAATTTCTTGAATTAGATTCACAAGGTTAGTTTAAATTATATTTTCAAAAAACAAAACAAGAATTTTTTTTTATGTTTATATTCATCAAATTTGAGAACTATTGAAATTGTTTTTCATGAGATATTTAAGTTTCTGATAAAGTTATATTGGTGTAGATCTCTAATTATTTATTTTTTCTTAATAGATGTTTCATCACCATTACTTCGTCTTCGTATTGAACTACTAATTTATGCTCATACATGTTTTATTAATTCATGTCATATGGAAGGAATATGTTTAGTACTTGATCATGCTCGTCATATAG